TTAGGCTGCTGAAACTTTCTTAGCTTTGGCTATTTCATCTAACAGCCATTATGTTTGTCTCACTGGCTTGTAGTAATAATTAAATCAGATACCTCGTGGGTCAAAGGACAAAGCAATAGTAAGCACTCAACACATTAGTTTCTTGCAGTTTCTCCCAAGTCAGAGGAATTTTTCTCTTGAAGGGGGCACTCACAACGCAGCCTTTTGGAACCTTCTGGAGGGGATGCTCTTGGAAATTGTTGCCTATTTTCCTTGGCTTGCTCATTCAGGGGAGGAAGGGATGACCCTCCTGCAGTGCCTTGGTGTGGGCTGTGGCGCTGAGACCTCTTGGGACACACCTACAGTAGTGTCAGGTCAGCTGTAGGGCAGAGGCAAGCCCCACTAGTGGGTCGTGCCCGCTGAAACACAGCTGCCAGGGATATCCACGGATTGTGTTGCCCCAAACCCCAAGAGCCAGATAGTGGGTTCAGTGTCAGCAAAGCAGACACTGCCCATGACTGCACCCACCTGGAGAGGGTTGGATGCGGATGTGGCCTGGTGTTGGACCCTACTCTGCCTTCAGATGGGCAAAGGCAGTATGAGGGCTCAGCCTGTGCAGAGAAGGGTGGGCAGATGGATACAGCACTGTAAGGAGGAGAGGAGGAAGAGGAGGAAGAGGAGGAAGAGGAGGAAGAGGTGGGCGCGGTGATGGGGAGACCTTAGGCTGGGTGGGGAGAAGGGTATGGTCAGGTCCCTGCCATGGCTTTTCCAGCTCTGGACCCCAGAGAAGCACCTGCAGTGGGGAGAACTAGATGATGGGACTTTCTCCAGGCTGTTTCCTCCCTCTCTTGCCCACCCCACCCTTACCTGCCCTGGACGCGACATGGAGCCTCACCCCTGCAGACTGCATACTCATGGGGCCAACAGGACAGAGTATTTGGAGTTAGGCCTGGCCAGGAAAACCCAGAAGATGTGGCTACCATAGCTTTGTTCCTGCAAAATCCCCTGCCCCAGACCCTGTCCCACTCTCCCCAGGTCCCCCAATGGTGCCATTTCCCTCCCCTTGCCTGACCCCGATTCTTCCCTTCACCGGCAGCATCTGACTCCCACTGCCCCAGAGATGCTGGGAGGCTGCCTCCCTTTCTCTGGCCTCACACAGGTCTCCAGGTCTCAGGACAGAAGGCAGGTGGGAAGACGAGGAGGAGGAAGCCTCCAGCCAGTGCAGTGGCCTGCAGCATGTCCTGTGGACCTGGAGCTGTGGTGGTTCCACCTGGGAGTGAAAGGCCTCTCCAGCGCCCTCTGGGCCGGGGTTCCGCCCAGCAGCTCTCACTCTGCTTTATTTGTCAAGTAGCCGAGCCGGGATGGGAGAGGGAGTGGGAAGCTGTTCTTGCCAGGTACGCCCTTCTCCCTGCCCCTATAACCCCACAAAGCTAGAGGGTGTCTCCCCACCTCCAAAGATGGTCTGCTGTCTCCTCACCAGCTTCCTGCTCCCCTGGACTCCCCAGAACCCGGGCGTGGCAGAACCAGGGGCACATGGATGCCCAGACTCTGACCTCCTGCCACTGAAGCCCCGGTAAAAACTGCACCACCTGCTCCACCCCCGCCTCCACGCATTGGCTGTGCGGCTGAGCTGGCTATTCACATATACCCCAAGGGCAGCATCCTAAAAGTCTGGTCCCAAAGGGTTTTTCTTTCTCTCTCTCTCTTTTTAATCTTCTGACCACACTAGCCTCCTCCAGCTTTACTCAGGGCTGCTCAAGAAGTGGGAAAGTGGCACAGTGGTTAAGTTCACACGTTCTGCTTTGGCGACCCAGGGTTCACTGGTTCGGATCCCGGGTGCAGACCTACACACTGCTTATCAAGCCATGCTGAGGCAGGTGTCCCACATATCAAGTAGAGGAAGATGGGCACAGATGTTAGCTCAGGGCCAGTCTTCCTCAGCAAAAAGAGGAGGATTGGCAGCGGTTGTTAGCTCAGGGCTAATCTTCCTTAAAAAAAGAAGTGGGCAGAATGGACAATACAAGATGCAGAGTCAGAAGACCTGTGTTAAAAGGCCAGCCCTGCCACCCGGGCAACCGCCCTCCCTTAATGTGAGACTTCTCCTCTGTAACAGGGGACCCTACAGACGACCTCTGGGGGTTCCGAGGAAATCACCAGAGCATGTGCGCTGGGGCCCACCAAGGCGTCTGCATAGATGGGAGCTAAGGCCACACAGACAGCCTTGGGCCCTGGGACCCAGAGGGCAGGGAGGCAGTGGGGCACAGGGCTGGGCCACCAGTCCCTGGGGACAGGGATGATGCGGGAAGGGATGCTAGATAGGTGGGGGCACTGGAAATGCCCCCAAGGCAGGCCAGTCCTCAATGTCCCTGGTTGCAGGCAACTAACTGCTCCTCTTCTGAGACCACCAGGGAAGCGGGACCACCAGTCGCTTCTTTCAGGGCCTCCTGCCCACCGTGCAGGAAGTCCTCCACGCCATCGGTCTTCGTGTCCTCACCAATTCCCTACCTACTGTCCCAGGCCAAGGCACATCAGGGCCGCTGCATCCCACATCATAGTCATCATCTGGTAAATGGTGCCCTGGAGCTGGGCCGTGCATGCCACACCCAGCCAGGGCTCTGTCCTGGGGGACAGGGAGCATTTACAGTTATCATGTGATTGTTGGATTAATGCCCATCGTCTCAGTGGACTGTGAACTCCCCGAAGGCAGGGATCACAGCCCCCTTCTCCACTGTTTCATTCCCAGCACCTTGCTCAGGGCCTGGAGCACAGCAGTTGCTCAATAAACATTCACTGAGTGAGACAATGGCGGGGTGGAGGATGGATGAAATGATGCAATTTCTCCGGCACTGCTCACCTTCTCAACTCCCAGGACATCTACCCCTCCCGTGGCCCATCTCCCCCTCCCGTGGCCACCTGGGAGTCCTCCAGAACCCACTGGAAGAAGAATAAGGGCCTGAAGCTTCGAAACCTGCAGTCACATGCGGACATCTGAGAGGACATATGCAAAGTGACCAGCCGTGCCTGACCGGGAAGGCTCATTCCTTACGTGGGGCTTCACTGTTGTGCTCTGGGTTGGGAGGGGGGTGCTTGCAGACTCCACCTGCTGTAAAGGCAGATGAATGATCCTTTGATTAAAAGGCATTCTACGGAGAAAGGCAGGCACGGAGACAGAGGCACAGGGAAAGGCAGCGAGGAGAGAAAATCAGAAGGCTGCAGCCTGCCCAACCTCCAGCTCCCTTTCGGCCCTCACTGTCAAGGCGAAGGGGCCACGGTCAGGCCCCCTTGGGAGAGAGCAGAGCCTGGGTTGCCCCTTCCACCTCAGCGTTCCTGGGTCGCACACCTCCTGTTCCTTTGCCCCTGAAGTACTGAGGGGGGAGAGGGTGGAGCCCAGCCCTCCCCCTGCCCACTCTAGCTGTCAATCTGCTGTCTGGCAGGAAGACTTGAAGCTTCATGACAGCTGTGGGCAACTTTCCCTGCCCCGCCTCCCGCCCCTGCCTGCCCTCTTCCCCTCTCCTCCCTGTCAGTGCTCTTCCCAGATGGCTCTAAGGTTGGCTTCCTCCCTCTCTCCTCCTTTCCTTCCTTCCTTCCTTCGTCCCTTCCCTCCCTCCCTTCCTTCCTTCCTTCCTTGCTTCCTTCCTTCCTCCCTTCCATTTTTCCTTCCCTCCTCCCTCCCTCCTTCCTTTCTTCCTTCTTCCTCTCCTTTTCTCTCTCCCACCCTTGTCATCTCATCCCCACATCAATTCCCACAGCTGATAAAGCTGTTTGACCTCATAAGATTTCCAACCATGGGATGAGCTTTTAAGTTCCCATCCAGGTCAAGATCTTTCACAGACTGAGTGTGTGATGTGTGTAAGTGTGTGTAAAGGTGTGTGCACTGGCTATGGGGTGGGTATCAGCAGCTGAGAGGTCCCTGGGGTTTCTAGCCCCCCTTGGGTCTGACTCCTTCCCCAGGAGATGATCACTGGGTTATTGACCCCACACCCCTGAGCTAGACCAGGGGCCTGTTTTGCACCCGCTCCTGGAATCAGGGTGCCTCTGGGGACAGGAGCTCAGTGCTACATTCAGGTTCAGGGAGAAGATCAAAGTCCATAATTAAGTGTTCAGGGCAAGTGAAGTGCTCCAAACTTTGGTGCTAAAAATATTGTATTTAGCATGCAAATTATGCCCTGACAGCTCCCCGAAGCCTGAGCCGTGGGGGCCGCACCTTGTTTGTCATCACCACTGTTATTCTCAAGGTGGTAAGAATATTCCTCCTTCCCGGGTTGATTTATATTTCATTTTCATAAAGCTAAATTTCTGTTGTTGGGATGATGCCAAGTCATGGCCCCAGAAGGCTTGGGGCTGTGACTGGTCTGGAGGCCGAGGGGAGGGAAGACCACTCAGGCCACATCACTCAGGGCCTCCTTGCTTCCACAACCTACCTCAGAGGAAGGGGGTCCTGATGAGAGACAGAAGACAGGGCAGGGGGCAGGCATAGGCACAGGCACAGCCGGTACCCCGAGGGTCGCCTTTCCATGGAGGCTTATTTGCCCTAGTGGGTGAGAAGGGCTCAGGATGGGTCCTTCAGACACACCAGGACCTGGAGAGGAGGAGGTGGGAAGTGGGGACAACTTGGCTTCCCTCTGGTAGGACCCTGCTGTTCTGACGATTAGAGGAGCCTTGGGTATGCCGTGGGATTCCCCTTGGAATCTTCTCCCCTCCCATCTGGGTTGACACTGGAGGGTTGGGGCCACACAAGAGCAGGACTGAGAGCTCTCACGTCCATTCAGGAGGAGAGGACACAGAGGAGGGGAAATACACAAGCACACACATCTTCTCCTCCGTCTCCCTAGGACAGCTCCTTTCCTCCTTTCTCCCAAAGTCCTGTCCACCCTGCTGGCGTGGTCAGGGTCACCCTTTTCTGGAGGGGTCTGCAGAAGGCCTTTGCAGCTCTGATGCCCAGCACAGACACAAGGGCTTTGGCTACACTTGATGCAGAGGACGAAGGTGACGCTGCACCCTTCCACCCGAGACACCTCGGATGTGACCCTTGTCAAAGTTTTATTAGTTTGGAGCATGTGTAGTGATGTTACAGAGTCTGGGGCCCGGGGGATGCCCCAAGCTGCAGCTTCCCCTTGTCCCTCGGGGCAGGGCCAGGCCAGGCCAAATGGTATTCAGCAGCCTCTTAGCCATGGGCTCTCTAAGGCGGAGGCAATAGAAGGGAAAGGGAGCGGGAGAGAGAAGAGGCAAGAGGAAGAGAAAAGGAAAGTGGTTTTGTGGCCAAGTGTGGCAGGAGGCGGCCCCCTAAAGAAGCTCAGACACCCCAACCCAGGCCCCAGACGTGGTCATAAGCCCACCTTATGGGTCACCTGGCTGGCCTAGCATTTGCTATGGGAAGGGATGCACCGAGTCTATCGGGAGGTGGCAGAGTGGGCTTGCGGTGGGCTTCCCCTCTGCACAGACTTTCCTGGGGCCCTTCAAGATCAGGGTTCCTCCCCTCAGAGGAGCTGGAACAGGGTGGAGCAGGTCAGGACCCACTGCTGTGGGAAGTAGAGGATCCTGTCGGGCAGGAGAGGGAGCAAAGATTTTTGGCTTGGGCTTCTCTGGGGTTCATCCCACAGTCTGGTATGTACATGGGTCTCCCAGGACTGGAGTTGCCTGGGACCTTGGCAAGAGATCTGGCTCCCCTGGTGTGGGCCTTATGGAGTGTGACCAGTCCATCCCTCCCCACCACCTGCTCCAGCACAGGCCTGTGAAGGCAGGCTGAGCCCAACAGAGAGCATGGCCTCTGAGCCCTGACTGGCCCCGGCAACCTCAGAGTCCAGAAAAGGGTCAGAGAAGGCGGCTGCATCTTTGGTGCCAAGGAGAGGGGGCCTGGAAGTGGGAGGGGGCGGCTCTGTGAGCTGCTCCTGAGCCAGGGGGTCCAGCGCAAGGCTGCACCATGCCTGGCTCTCTAGCACTCCCCTGGTAGAGTGAGGGTGTGCGGGCAGGGAGGGGCGTGGCGCCAAGCTAACACTGCAGGGCCTGCCGGGGCGAAGAGAAGGCAAGTCCGCTCTGTGCCCTCCTGCCCGCAGCTCCCAGGGATGGAGGCCGGGCCAGCCTGGGCAGGGAGGTGGAAGCAGGCTGCTGTGCAGGTGGGCAGCAGGATCAGCAGTGTAGGATCTTCAGGAAGGCCTTGCGGAACTCGATGTTGAAGGTCGTGTAGATGATGGGGTTCACGGCGCTGTTGACATAGCCCAGCCACGTGAAGGCGCTGTACAGGACGGGCGGGATGTTGCAGTCACAGTGTATGTTCAGGATGTGGGTGATGAAGAAGGGCAGCCAGCAGATGATGAACACGCCTGCGGGAGAGGGCGGGGGTCAGGCTGGCCCCAGGGCCAGGCAGAGGCTGGGCTGGGAAGGCCCGCGCTCACTGGGCACCTGGATTGTGTGCTGTGGCTGCGGCTCAGGACCGAGGCTGAAGCAGCAAGAGCACTGCGGGAGGAGGTGCAGTCTTGGATTCTAGACCCGCCTCTGATGCCCATTTGCAGTGGACGGGTCACTTCCTCTCCTTCAGTCTCATTCTCCTCATCTGACAAATGGGGATAATAATACCTACCTCATAGGGAAAGATAAAGGGCTTGAAAATGAATCTGAAAGGTTAACCTTCTGACACGCCAGCCAGTGAAAATGGACATCTCGAGTCTACTTTCTGGTCGTCTTTGCGAACAAGGGCTTCCTCGGCAGTGGGAGTGGAGGGTTTGTTCAGTGCAGTTTGGGCCAGAGGTAGGAAGGGAGAACCAAGCACTCCACCCTCTTAGTTCTCACAGCATCCCAGTGAGGAAGACAGAGAACAGCCTGGCAATGGCTATGGGACTCACGAAAGACCACTCCCCTCTTAGGCGGCAAAGCTGAGAGCTGAGCTCCAGTCTATCAAGGGCCCCAAATAGCCAGGCTCCTGCTACCTTCCCCACACTTCCCCCAGCCCTTGATGGGCTCCCTTGTTAGTCCCTGCCTTGGGACATGCACTGTCACCTAGATTGACCTCCAACCCGCCCGCTCTACCTAACTCGGGACCTCTTGCACAAGTGAGACTCTTGGTGTGGAGGCGTCGTGTGCACAGAATGCCCCACAGGCACACTGGGAGTCCCCAGGGACAGAGGGGTGCCCAAGAAGAGCAGGACCACAGAGCAGAGAGAGACCCTGGGGACTGCAGCAGAGGGCCTGGTCTGACTCTGCTGTCACCACTGGCCACGTGATCAGTGGTCGGTCCCTTAACCTACTGTGACCAGGTGTTCTCATTCATAAAACCTGAATATTAACCTCTGTCCCTCTCACGTCACAGGACTGTCGGGAGGTCAAAGGGAATGGCAGGTGTGGAAGGATGTCACACACTGCCGTGGCTACTACATGGATGGCAGAGCCACATCAGCCCTCCTGTACCCAACCACACATGTCAACTCAGCCCTCGATTTCTGACCTTTCTTATCGGGTTTACTAGCAGACTTTCATTTGAAAGTCCTGCCTCACTGGCAGGGCCACTCCCTCATTTCGATCCGGGCCCCCTTCTCACAGCTCTGGTCCCACAGGGTCTTGGTCGAGTCAAGAGAACTGAATTTCTGAATTCCTCAACAATAGCAAGATTAACAAAACTATGGTGATAACACTTACCTGTGTGTACTACTTTGCGGTTTACAAAATGCTTTCACCACCGTATGCCATTTGGCCACCACAACAACACTGAGAAGTAACCTACTCTAATGATGAGGGGAAGAGAGAGAGAGAAAGTGACTTGCCCAGGATCATGGGGTTCTGGGGTCACTATGGTAGACGGGTCAAGTTCACAGACTCTGGAGTCAGGCTGCCTGAGTTTAAATCATGGGTCCTCCTTGGTCAATTAATATAACCACCCCAAGCCTCAGTTTCCCCATCTGTAAAGTGAGCACAGTTATAGAATCTACCCAACAAGGTATATCAATGGGCTTGCCCTGTGCCTGAGAAAGTCAGTCGGGTGACCCTCCCACCATGGTCAAGAAGGACATGGCAGGTAATGGGACCAGCAGTAATGGGTCCTTCCCCCAGCCAGCCTTGGGCAGAGCTAAGCTGTGGCAGCCCTTGGGGCCAACTCACCGAGAACAATGGCGAGCATCTGGGTGGCTTTCTTCTCCTTCTGCTGGGAGAGCTTCCTACGGCTCATGGTCTTGAGCGAGGTCCGGGTTTTGCCATTGGGCATGGACTGGATCTCAAAGATCTTGGCAATCTTGGGGTGGTCTTTGGCATGCCCGTTCTTCTCTGGTTTGGCAGGGCTGTCAGGAGTGCTGTGGAGGCCATGGTGGGATGGGTCGGGGAGGGTCAGCTGGTGGTGGCTGGGTGGGATGGGGCTGTACCGGGTCCTCTCGGGTGGGCTTGTGCTGGACAGCATCTCCATCTCCAGCTCCTGGGCTCGGCGGGCAGCATCCTGCAGAGAGGCAGAGAGCTCTGGGTAAAAAACCAGGCAAGTTCTCAGGCATCAGCCACTCAGCCTTACCTGGCCCCACCTGCCCCACCTGCCCCACCCTGCCCTTCTCTATCCCCCTCTAGAGACTCCTGCAAACACTACAGGGTCACTCTGCCAGAGAGGCAAGGAGGATGATCACTGGGAACAGGCATCACCCAGGACGCACGGCAGCCCCTGCCTGCAGGGTCACCCCAGGCCCCTTCCTAGAGCAATCCCCAGTCAACCTCAAAGGCCCCACAACTGTTCTGGCTTGAATCCACTCATGGCCTCCCAGGTCTTCCCTATGCTCCCTTGTTTGAGGCCTTGGAGGTCTCAGCCTGAGCTTCTGAAATGCAGCCTCGCTGTGTGCCCAGGTGCCCCAAGCCTGAGTCTCTGTTTCAGCATCTGTCTCATAAACAGCTCCTTGGAGTCCGGCCTTTGCCTGCAAGTGAATGGTGGGAGACTTGCTTCCTGAAGATGGCTGACCTAGACTTTGTGTGCGGCCCTCTGCGGTTCCCTGGCCCATCCTCTGCCCACCTGGGGATGGGGCCCCTGCTGCGTGGCCCCTGGGGCTGCTGTCACTGGGCTAAGCCTGGGGTCTGCTGTGACTCTGCCCCTCCAGGCATCCCCGACAGGATGCAGCTCACCGCCAGCCCCGTGGCCGCTCTGCTCCCTCCTCCCCCAGCTCCCAGCCTCCAGCCCCAGAACCTGCACGTAGTGAGGCAGCATAGGTGAGTGGAAAGAACAAGGGTGTGACTTCAGAGTCACGCAGGTCTGGGCTCAATTATGCACTCTCACACTAACTACTGTTTAGCCTTGTATGAGTTACCTAACCTCTCTGAGCCTCTGCTTCCTCTTCTGTAAATGAAAATGGGTAAAATCAATAAGACTTACCTCTCAGGGTCCTGTGAGGATTTGATGAGATAGTAGGAACATAGTAGGGATTCAATTAATGGGAATAACCATTATTATTGTTACTTTTTATCATGTCATGGTGGCCCACTCCTTTCTCCCAACTGTTTTCCTGTGCTAGGGGTACCTCTCTGTGCCTTGAGGAATCAAGCTGTCTTGCTCCATGCCTGCGTGGGAGGTGTGCATGGTAAGGTAGAGTGGCGGGTCCCGGGAGGTGCTTGTCCCTTTGGCCAGCTGCTGAGGTCTGAGAATTATGGCAGTGGGCTTCCCTAGGGGCGGAAAGACCTGGCTCGGGTCCCTGCCCTGAGCACTTACCAGTCTCCGCCTGTTCACTGGGAAACTCCCATTAGACTTCATGATAACGGTGCAGAGTTTCATGTCCTCGGGGTGAGTGCAGTTGCCCTGTGGAGGGAGCCAGCACATGAGTCATGATGGGGAGGTGGGTGGGGACAGAAACCCAATGTGGAGTGGTCAGACTTGGCACAGGAGCTCAGAGAAGGGCAGAGATGAGAAGGGTGGGGGCCTGAGGAGACAATCAAGGCAAAGGAGAAGGTCGGCACTGTGATTAGAAGAGGTGGGCAGGACGAGGGACAAAAGGGCTCTGACTTTTACAGGGCCCCTGCTAAGGGTCTGGCACCATGCTAAGCATGTTCACATCCCTCTCACACTGAATACTCAAGACTACCCTGTGAGGTCAGTATTATGAGTCCCACTTAACAGATGAGAAAACGACTGAGGCTCAGAGAAGTTAAACAACTTGCCCAAGGTCACTCAGGAAAAAAGTGGCAGTGCCAGGATTTGAACCTGATGTGTCTAACCCCAAGGTTCTTGTTCCTTCTATGCCCACGTGGTGTCTTCCCCGGGGAGGGCTGAGCAGAGGGGAGAATTCACAAGCAGGGAGATGAAAGAGGGGCAGAGCAGAGAAGAAGCAAGAACAGGTGAGGAAGGAGGAGGCGTGCACAGAGGGGAGGACAGAGTATGGAAGGTAAAGGAGACAGGATGGGGGCGTCAGAGGGAAGGAAAGGGAGACAGAGGCCCAGCTTGAGGACAGGAGAGGCGAAGGAAGGAGGAGAGGAGTCCAGGAGGGTGCCGAGAGCTGCTGCCTTCAGACAGAGATCTCCGGGCAAAGACTTCTCCTCCCAGGTGGTCTCTGCCACCCGCCCCACCTCCCACTCCTGGAGATTCAAGGTGCTCCGCTGAGGTCAAGCCTTGGAAATCTGCCCTCGCCCAGCTCCTCAGAGCTCCTCCAGCCTGGCCCCATCCTGCTGCAGTGTCCCAGCCCCTCACTGAGCAGGGACAAGCCCCTCAGTAGTGGTGAGGTGGGGACATTGCCGGGGAGGGGGGATCTCGGGACCTTGAGCGGGGCCTTCAGATTGGCCCGGAAAGCCCGGCTGCTGCGCTTTGTGTTGACCCGCTTGCGACGCCTGCGGAGGACGATGTAGATCTTGATGTAGACCAGAAGGGTGACGATGAAGGGCACGTAGAAGGAGACGATGGAGGAGTAGACCACAAAGGCGGGGTTGGCGATGATGCACTCGTTCTGGTCTGGAGGAAGGAGAGCCCCGGGTGGGCGGGCATCAGCAGGCCCAGGGGCCCCAGTGCCGCCAGAGCACCTCATCTCCTCTATGGGAACGAGGAGCAAGGTTACAGAGAATATTGCTGGGTGTCTAAGGCTGCCTGGAAATGTTGAATGTAAATACATGCACAGTGTAAATTGGAGCATTAAATACAGCCGTGAGTGAAAAGCTAAGCTGTGATCGGCTGCTTCTGAGTTTCTCCATTAACATTCCCTTGTTACTTCATCATTCATTTTGTCATCTATGCGCATACAAGCGGAGCCAGAGAGTTTGGGAAAAATGATGGCAGGAAATTATTTTAAAAGAATAAGCCATTTCTTTAGCCTTTCCTGTATATTGCAGGGACCTCTGCCACCTTTGAATTTTAGGAACAGGAAAACTTGGTCCTGTTTGCTAAACTCACCTGTGTTTCCCATGTGTTTCCAAGTTCCCTTCCAGGTTCTCTATCTCAGGGCCTTTCCAGATTAATCTGAACATATTTAGCCTTAGCGCCTCTTCTTGGAATTCCTGAGACGCTTAGATTTTTGTACCATATGCTTTGAAGGCTTCATCGGTGCTGTCCTGTCGTGGCTCCAGAGGCACACCTGCATCCCTGTGGGCCCTGAGGACAGTAAGCTCCTCATCACACCGGCAGCACTGGGCCCCCTCTGTCGGAAATGCTCCTGACGGCCTCGCACAGGACCAGCCGCGGTGGGCTAACCTCCTACTTGCTTTTACCTTTCCTCCTGCAGGTGGCACGGCCCTGGGGCTGCAGCCTCATTACACAAATACGATTTTCGGGGTGGATGGAAGCCCAGCAGCCTCCCGCCATGTGCGTGCACACGCACATGCACACACATGCAGCACGTGAGGCTGTCTGGCCTGCTTCAATTTAATAAACAAAGTTGGAAATGGCCAGACATCCTCCCGATCATTACCCCACTCCTCATCCAATCCCGTTGTTCCTGGGCCATTGTTCCTCTCTGGGCCAACCAGAGTCAGGCTTGGCACAGGAGACCCAGCCTGGCCTCAGTCTGGGTTGTGAACAGGTCCCCACTGGGCCTCTGCCCATGTCTGCATCAGGGACTCAGCTCCCTCAGGGTCCTGCACAGGAGCAGGGACCCGGGGCGGGCAGAGCCCCAGCCAGACAGAGGCAGGACTCACCTGTGTTGTTGAGTCCGAAGAGCAGCGGGCAGGAGATGGTGAAGGACAGGACCCAGACGATGGCGATCATGACGGTGACTCGGCGCTTGGAGCTGTAGCGCGTGTTGTACAGCATGGGCATGGCCACGGCTGTGTACCTGAAGGATGGGTGGGGCCTGAGTCTGGGATATGGGCCCAGGAACCCCTCACTCCACAACATGCACACACCAGAGACACCCTGCTCCTCGGGAGTGGACAGTTGGTCCACCTCCATGAAGCCCACCCATCTACTCTAAGTCAGCTCTCCCTCCTGTCCTAGACTCAGACAGTGAGGACGGCTGGTGATACCCGATCACGTGCTTCATGGCCAACTGGCGACCATTTCTCCTGGACTATCTCTGTTCCTCTAGTCTCCCTACTTGGATTTTAGGCTTTTCAAGGGCCATTGCCTAGGTCTTTGAGCCTTTGCCACTGTATCCACTGCACCTTTGCTGTGCCTGAAGACAATGGAAGTGTTTGCTGATGGACTGGTAGCCAGGCCTCTCCTGGGTTAAGCCCCATTTGGCAGCAAATGATAACAACGTAATTAGGATCCCTCACATTCCTCTATCCAGCACTTCTCATACGGTAGCTCCTTTCACCCTCCACAAATCCTGCAAGAGGAGTAGGGCTGGGGCCTCTGGGAGCCCAAGTGGCCCATCTGTGGAAATTAGTGAGAGGCTCCAAGGCTACAGGTTAGCAAGGCGAACATGGCCTGGGCCCCCTTGGCTAGATGTAAAATGCACAACCAGACGCTGCAGCCCCAGGTGGACGGGTATCATCATCCTTGGTTTCTAGACAATGAAACTAGGGTTCCAAGACCTTCCATCATCTGCCTACGGTCACCTAAGGAGGAAGTGATAGAGCTAGGCTTCAGTCAGAATCAAGTGCTTTCTCCTCTATGCCGCTCACTGTCTGGCTATTCTTGGTAGCATCCTGTCCATAAAATGGCCTCTCCTTAGGGGGTCTGTACTCTCCCAGCCAGACACACAACCACCCATGCATGCACATACACACACACACACACACATATGCATATATACACACACAAACATACAGCCACAGCATCATAGACAGAGCCCAACCCTGAAGGAGAAGTGGGGTGGCCCAAAAGGTGAATGGTCCGGGTCACCTCTCCCACCCTGGCTGGGCTCACCTGTCGATGCTGATGGCACACAGATTCAAAATGCTTGCTGTGCACATCATGACATCCAGAGTGACGAAGATGTCACAGTGAATCCTGCTGAATTTCCACTCGCCCACCACCTGTAGACAAAGCAACATAGCAGGCAGACAGCAGTCGGGGAGGTTAGCTTCAGCCCCCAGCTTGGTTTTCCTGGGGCAGATCTGGCCAAGGGCTCGGGGGGCAGCTGTGGGGGTCTTGTGGGTCTCCAGCTAGGGTCTGGGGGAGAAGAGGGGCAGCAATGGGGAGCCATGCCCATGAGTACCTGAGGCCCGGGCCCTTGGCCCCCTCTCCTCCTAGACACAGAAGGCCACTTTGTGCCAAGAACCGTGCAGGAAGAAATAAGACCAACATATACCACGTGCCTCGACTTTGAACCTTCATCTGTCAAACATTTGAGTGATCACCTTGCGACCCCATTTTACCAATGAGGCAACTGAGCCTCAGAAGAGTGCAGGGATGTGCCCAAGCCCTTCAGCCAAGCTTCTGGTCCTGGCTGGCTGGGGTTTCCGGGGGAGGCAGGCTGCTCCTTCAGTGGCCAGCATGGTGCATAGCACAGAGTCAGGGCCCAATAAATGTCTGTTGAGAATCATGATGAAAACGATGACTCTGTGAAATAGGGAAGACATATCTGCTCCTTGTTACACTAGAGGATGAAAGAGGAAAATCTGGGCTAGAACTTTAGGAACACCAGAACGGGCTGGGGTGGGTGTGCTGTAATGCTTTATCCTTGGTATGATGGGACACGTGTCCAGCCCCTGGCAGGAGCATTTTTCATCCCTCCCCCTACACACACACTCATACCCCCTTACACACACACACACTCCCATGCCCCTACTCATGCACATCCACATCCCCCATCCTCCCATTTACACACACATGCACTCACACTCACACAGCAGCCTGGCCCTGGCAACTTTGGGAGTCTGGAGCAGTCCCCATCCCTGATCGGAGAGTCAGGACCGGGAGATCCACCTGGGGCCTCTACCATAGGAGAAATGAAGAGCAGGAAAGCCCCTCCGGTGCCTGGGGCGGGGCAGTGCCCCCTCTGCATGTCACAGCAGAGCAGCAGGGCTAATGACAACATTACTCATTCTCAGTGCTGCCTCTTTTCTGCTCTCAGGCATAAACCCGATGCTGGCCTTCCAGCTCAGGGATGGCCACTGCAGCTGCTGTTGTCAGGCATGCAGGGAACAGCGGCTTTTCCTGGGAGACAGGAAAACCTCTCCCGTGGAGCTGCCTTCCTCAGGGCCCCTCCCATGTTGCAACACAGGGTGCCCCCGTACTGAAGCAGAGTGCTGACCAAGTGGGCAGGAGCTGGAGGGGGGTGCATAGAGATGTGGCGGGGGATGGAAGGGCTTCCCTGGTGTAAACAGAATCTACCTTTAGGGCACCATGGGGAGGGTTCCAGGTCCACCTGGTCCACTCTCCACCTTGAAGCCCCTCCTAGACCAGTTTTTCAGAGCTGCTTTCATGTCCCTAGGGATCTAGGGCCCTCTTCCCTGTCCTCCCTCCCTCCATCTGCCTTCCTTCTCTCCTATAGACACTTATTGAGCAACTTACTATGTGCCAGGCTCTGTTCTAGACTCTGGGGTACAGTAGTAAATAGTGCTGACATAGTCCCTGCCCTTAGGGAGCTCTCAATCCCCACCCTCAAAGGCCTTTCTGGAGCAGAGAAGAAGCGAGGGGTTTCCTCCGTGGTCCAAGGAGCAGCTGCTCTAGAACAGTTAGGGGTAGTCGACTCAGAGACTCAAGAGAATGTGTTGGTAGCCACCGTTTCTAGAACACCTACTGTGGGCAAGTACTTTATCTCACTTATTGTTCTCAAAGCTGGTACAAGAGGGGATTGCTTATGCCCATTCACGGATGAGGGAAAGGAAGCTCAGAGAGTCCACGGGGCCAGCGTGCAGCAGGGCTGGAGCTGGAAGCAAGTTCTACGGGCAGCACATCCTGTGCTCTCTCCTAAGCTGTCTTGGGAGAGACCATCTAGCTTAGCAAAAGAGGAGGTGATTATGTAAAAAGTACTAAATGAACCAACTGTGAAAGGAGAGATTAAAATTGCAAGGGTAGGCAAACTTGGAGTCAGAGAGGAAAATGGACTTGCCCAAGATGTCCTGGTGATTTAGAAGCAGAGGAAGGACTGGACTCCAGGTCTGCCAGTACAACTCCAGGGCTATTTTCTCTGCACCTTTGGGCACCATTTATTGGCTTTATTGCTCACGTGAAGCTGAGACCTTCACGACAGGCCTCAAGCTGACTCGGCTAAGTCTTAATAATAACTAGCGCATATTAAGTACTTACTCTGTGTCAGGCACTGTTCCACACGTTCCACACTCATATCCATGGAATATGACAGCAAATCTCTGAGGCTAATGACACGGCTACTGCTCCTCAAAATCTCCAGCCAGTTACTCCCCTCCCCCCAGCTCGGGGGCTTTGCACACTATTTTTCTCTGCCTCACTCCCTCTCCCGGAGAATTGTTCCAAAAGCCCCACTTCCTCCTGCAAGACTTCCTTGTCCCCATATGCCAAAGCCATGTGCCCCCATTGTGTTCCCACATCTGCTGCGAGGATTGCTCTGTTGTCATCTCTATCAGACTGCACTGTAATGGCCCTATTAGTCTCCTCATCGACGGCAGGCCAATGCCTTAGACCTCAGCCTCACAGATGGGCTAGGACAGAGAAGCGCTCAAGACACGTTGAATGAGTGAATTAATAACTGCGACCTTAGTCTGTTCACCTTCTCAATCTCATCTGCTCATCTGGAAGAGGCACACAGCAAACCCTCACCTCCAAGGGTTGGGAGGCCAAAGTGGAATGGCACCTGCAGACAAGTGGCCCCTGGCCCTCTTCTCTCAGGAGCTGCTCCAGATGGAAAGTGGTTGAGTTGTGAATTGATCCTGGTTCTCTCTCTCTAAAACCAGTGTGCTTTCCATATACTGAGCAGAATAAATAATGCACATCCAGTCCTACTGGACAGATGCTGACATGGCAGGCTATCAGAGGCATTTTACATTGTTAGAAATGGAACAGGATGGAAAATTCTGGAAAAGAGCATCTCTTGGAGAGGGTACAGTGTCTGGTTGTGAGGATATCTGGACAGGATGTTGGCATAGGGTGAAACTCCACTTGGGACATTCTCTAGGGATAACAAATAGCTGAGACAATGTCCCGTATGCAGGGCCTACTGTCCAGCTCTTGTTTTGCTGGGAGACTATGGGGGACTCTGAGCACTGACCTCTGAGATGCCATTCTCCACTCTGCCCCTTGAAACACTGAGCCTCACCTTTAAAATAATGGTGAACAGGTGTGTTTAAAATATCTGTTTGAGGACTTAGAGGTGCCTAGGAGTCCGAATGCACAGATCTGGCCATACCCTAGGCGTCTGGGTAAGGATAGTGGGCTTGGAAGGCCCAGAACCCAGGCCCAGAGCCCTGGGCAGAGCACGTCTCACTCTGGGAAGAGGGTGCCTCTTAGCCTGGGCATGGGGAGGGTCCCCTCCATGTGGATACCTAGCTTCATCTTCATCACCATTGTCACGGCCAACTTTTACAAAGTGCTTACATGTGCCAGGTGCCATTGTAAGCCCTTTTCATATACCAACTCATGTGGCTCTCAAACAATGCTTCTAGGCAGATGCTATTATTATCTCCATTATACAGACATGGAAAGAGAGTCACAGAGACATTATTTGCTCTGCCAACCACCCATCATTTTTTCCCTGATGGTCTGAGGCCTGGAACCCTCCTTTGAAAGGAAGCAGGAGGGGAATAGTCCTAAGATTTAAGAAGGGACCCCTCAGGGAGAGGCCCTCAGACGGATGTGGGCTGGACAGAGTCTAGGGTCCTCACGTAGACATGAGTGTAAGGGAGGAATTTGATCCCCGGCCTGTGGCACCTGTATGTCTTTATGCTGTTTTGTATCTATTGTTTGTTTCCTTTTGGTTCTTCCTTAACATTCAATCAGGTCACTTTGAAAGTTCCAGCCTGTATGGTCAGTGCAAAAGGGAACCAAGGGAGTGATGGCCCAGAGCTGATGGCCCTGGGGCCAGCGTTAGTGACAACAGGAAGCACAGGGAATCCCTTGGGGTATGGAGACCGGGAGAGGTGCCCCTTCTGCCCAGCCTCCCCGCCCCACTCAGCTTCTTCTCCTAGATGTCTCCTCTGCTCAAACCTACCAAGGATTCACGTTTTCTCCTAAGAGTGGAAGCCCTTCCCCCCAGGCAGGGATGTGCCTCCTCCGTGGCACAAGGGAATTCCTCTCTTGCCTGGGGCAGGAAGGTAACAGCTCAGTGATGTTAGGGACCTTGGCATTTTGGCTCTTTCCTGAATGGCTGGTCAGCTTCCCGTGCACCCAGACGCCACCCCAGAACCCTGGGCAGAGAAAGGGGCAGGATCCAGCTTGTATCCACCCACATCCTGCAGACCCACCCACATCTGCCTGCTTGCTCTGAAAAGTGTCCTCCTGAAGGGGGGACACTCTCAGGGACTTCTCTATTGGCAGTTTCTCCCTTGGCAGTGTGATCTGGGTGAAAACAGGCATCTGGGAAAGCACCAGGCAACTTCCTCGTTTGTGAAGTGAGAAGAGTAGTATTGACTCCCAGGATGAGCATGAGTGTTTGCTGAGTCTGTGTCTGCAAAATGCCTGGCACAGTGCCTGGACCATAGTGGAGGGAGGGGGGTGCCTGGACTATAGGGGGAGGGATTCCTGGACCATAGTGGAGGGGGCGGTGGCTGGACCACAGCAGGGGCTGCCTTACTACTCGAAGGTACAGCGCCAGGCTCTGTCCTGAGCTGAGCAATGGGTGACTATATGGTCCTTCCTGAGGACAGGGGGTACAGCACAGCGGCCTCTACCTGGAGGTCCCAGACACAGGCCCTAGAATAAACCAGGAGAGAGGGAAGGGAGAAGGAGAGCATTGAGCGGCAGCCCCCATATTTGAAGTGGGGAGAGAGGAATGAAGACTTCAGGCCAGGAAGCATGAACAACACCCTTCCTTGGGATCCTCATCATTTATTCCCATTTTCAGTGGGACCCAATAAACCAACTCTGGGGTCAGACAGAGTTCCAGCTTGGACCTGCCGGCTGTGTGATGCTGAGGAAGTCACCTAACTTCTCTGACTATCTGGCTCACCACCTGTAAAATGATGATAATGCTGGCCTCTTAGGGCTGCTGTGAGGAGTATATTGAGGAAACGCTGCATATAAGGGACTTAACATGAGGCCTGGCACTTAGGAAGCACTCTCTAACTGGTAGCTGAGATTGTTAAAAAGATAATCTATCCATTTTATAAGGAGAAAAACTGAGCCCAGAGTGGAGGAAGAGGCCACCTGAGAAAGTACCAGGCAACTTATTGCTAGAAACCAGCAAGGAGCCTGTTCCCCAGGCTCCAGCATAGCACCGACCTGGAGAAGGTGCTGGAGCAAGGCAGAGGTGCAGACCTACCTCCAGGTAGACAACCCAGGGCATGACAAGCGTGGCCACAAGGAGGTCGGCCACCGCAAGGCTGACAATCAGGTAGTTGGTGGTGGTCTGCAGCGCCTTCTCACGGGACACGGCCATGCATACCAGCACGTTGCCAAAGACGATGACAAAGATGAGCAGGGTGAGCAGCATGGCATAGTAGTTGTAGTGGGGCCTGTCGGCCTTTCCTTCGGACCCATTGAAGGGCCGGCTCCAGTTCTGGCTCTCCAGATCGTCATCGTACCAGGACAGGTTCAGTGGATCCATTGGGGCAGTGGGGCCACTGGGCGGCCAGGCTCTGGCCAAGAAAAATGGACACAGGGAGTGAGTAGGAGGACATCGCAAAGCGTGCTGCCTCCCACGGAGGGCTCTGGAGCTAAAACCAACCACTGAAAATTAATAGAGAGAATTCTCCAGCTTCAGGATTTCGTTTAGCATCTAACAATTTTCTTAAAACATTGAGAACTGCTGCCACTGTTCTGCTAGCGATTCTTGCAGATGGTAGAACAAATGACCAAATATAATTTTTTTTAAATGTATAATAAAAAAAACGAGCTTGAAAAGAGCTGATCATTCATTCACCCATTTATTCAACAAACACTTATTAAGCACATCCCATGCACCACACTCAAGACAAATTGGCAAGGAGTTCCAGCTACCAGTGGTAGGACTAGAAACATGCATTCATTCTACAAATATTAATTGAGCACTGTTTTCTATAGCACTAGAAACATAGGCAGGAACAAAATAGACATGGTTCTCCAGTTCACATTCTAAAAGAAACAATAGCCAGTTAATCAAGCCATTAAATCTATGAGTGGTAGGCTCTCGGAAACGGAATGGTGGGGAGAGACACATAACCCAGTTTAGGGATTCGAAGAAGTCTTTCCAGAGGAAGTGATGTTCGACAGCCACCTGAAGGACGAGTAGGAATTAGCCAAGTAAAGAGTTGGGAGCCAGGGGAAGGATCTCAACATAGGAAGCAGCATATGGAAAAGACAGAGCTAGAGAGTGGGCCACGGTGGAGGGCTGGGAAGAAATTCAGGATGCTGAGTACAGAGGGACTGGCATGAGCTGAACCAGGGAGGTTGCAACAGGCAAGATCACAGTCATGCTGGGAATTCAGACTTGACCCTAAGGGCAGCAGGAACCACATTATCAGATTTGCCTTTGAGAAATTTTGACAGCTGTGTAGAGAATGGAAGAGGGGGGCCAAGTGGGATGGTAGAACACCAGCTGGGAGGCTGTTGCAGGAACCCAAGTAAGAGACAATGAGGTTCTGGATTTGTGCACTGAGAGCCCTGAGGAATGGGTGTCTCATCCCAGAGGGACTTCTGAAGGAGGTGCCATTTGAGATGAAGTAGGAGGAGGAGTTAGCCAGACAATGGAGTGAGAGGACATGTTTGCCAGAGAGAGCAGAACACAGTCCCAAACAAGAAATAATTCCATTTGGGGAAAAATGTAGGGCATGACAGTGAAGCTGGGGAAATTTAAATTGTCAGGCCATTCATGGGCCAGATCGGGTCTTGTAAGCTTGGGAGTCCCTGAGAGTTTGGTGCAGTGAAATAACTCCAGTAGACTGGTGTTTTAGAAAGGTCACCGGCTGCTGTGACATGGAGGGAATCTTGGAAGGGAACGAGGTTACAGCTGTAATTCAAGTAAGAGATGGTGGTCACCTGAATGAAGGTAGTGGGAATCAGGATGGAGAGAAGTGTCCAGAATCAGGTGCTAACTCGGAAGTCAATTTCTTGGAGCTTGGTCGTTGGATAGATGTGGGGTGGGAGTGGGGATCGGGCGAGCAGGGAGAGAAGTCGGGGATAACTCTGGATTTCTGCCTTGTGCTCTGGGAGGCCGATGGTGCTGCTCACTGAGAAAGGAAAGCAGAGGGGCTCCGAGGCAGACTAGGGAGGCATTGGGCATTGATGAGCTTAACAGCCTGTGTTTTGGTTGTGACTGAAACAATGCACATATAATATAGTTGGTGTTCCTGCTAACAAAAGTGTTCCTATTTCACACAATGGAATTAAATTTATCAGTACTTCAAGGCATTCCACACAAAGCACCATGATTTCCAGATGCTTTGCTACCCAAATCGATCTGAAATGCACAAATTTATGCCATTTGGGATGAAGACAGTACCACGTCCAGATCCAAGAAGAGGGCACACCAGCTGCAACAGATCAGAGGAGACCCCTGGAGAAGGGTCTGCCCACCACCTCTGCACCCTCATTCCTGTGTGACACATCTTCCCTGCCAGCTCTCAGCAGAGGAGTATGGATGATGTCCCGCCCAGCACCACCACTCTGGAGTCTTCCGGGAAAGCTTGTGGAGTGACATGGAATGCCACCCATGCAACGAGTCTTCCAATTCTAAGATAGTGAAGCACTGTGTCATACTGATGCTGAAATCTGTAAAGCCAGCTACTACCTCTTCCCACTTGGAGCACACAGCAGGAGACCTGTATGCATGTATTGATCAGGCAACATGAGCTGCCCCTGCCGTTCATTTACTCAATCAGCGTCTATGGAGCCTGCTAGACATAAAGCACTGCGCCAAGCACTGTCTGGGGCTGGAGACATAGAGGCACTCACTTCCCCCAGCATCCTCACTACCTCTCCTCCCTTTTCCTTAGTCCCTTTCCAGGTAGGACCAGTGGCATCTGATGGAGACTCTCACATTCCTGTCTCCCCTACCCCATCCATTCTCCACATCCAACCAGTCTTCTGTTTCTGCAGCACACTCCTGCACCTGCCTATGCTGATAAACAGCTTCATGTGCTTGCAAAGGATTTGATAGTTTGTCAAGTTTTTTTTATATATATACTGTCTCATTTGTCCTCAAGACAACTTTCTGAGGCTTCTAATTATGATCCCCACTCTATCAATCAGAAGAGTGTCTGGAAAACTTCCTTTCCCTTCCCCCTACTTGCCCGGTCCCTACACATCCTTCAAAGCAAGGCTTGTGCAGAACCCTCCTGCTCTGGAATCCGTCCCACGTCCTCCTGGCTGGACCATCTCCCTCCCTCCTCAGGGCTCCCACAACATTGTTTTGTGGTTCTATTCTGGAACAGACCCCATTTGTGTGTCTGCTTTTTTCACGGGTTTGTAAGCATCTCAAGGGTCACACCGTGCCTTGCTCACGCCTCATTGTCTTCACAGAATAAACAAAAGAGCATGTTATCCTGTTCTTCTCTTCACACTCCTAATGCTGTGATCTGCAGGCAGTTAGTGCTCAAGAAATGCTTGCTGAACTGAACCAAAGGCTGTATGAGTCTAACTGGGAAGAAAACTCCTCCACACTTGAAATACAGCTATTAACATAGGTCACCAGACTAACAAGGGACAAAAGAGTATCACGGGTGTTGCAGGTTGGGTCTCCAGAAAGTGGATTCTGAGTAGGAAACTTATCAGGAACGCTCTCAGGATGGAGACTTGAAGGGAAGTGGAGGAAGCAGAAGCAGGCAGAGGGGGAAGTCAGGCTGCCTTGCAATCACGCCAAAGACCTCTGGTGACTCCCTCAGGGAGCCTTGCAGAATTGCCTAAATTAGGGCAACAGGGAGCCCTTTGTGCCCTCTCATAATGTCACGGGTTGTGGACCATCCCAGGGAAAGGGTGTGACCTTGAGAGAGGCCTCTCTCTTCAGCAGTGGGCAATCACCGAGAGGGTGGACCCAGCTGAGAACTGTCAGGTGTCAACACTCCCAGGAATTGTGGAAAGAGCGCCTCAGTCCTTCATGGGATCTACAGCATCCCCACAGCACCCCACACAGCAGATGTTCAGAAATCAGAGAGGATATGCACATGGGCACAGCGGGGGCGTTCACGGAGGGCTTCCTGGAGGGGATAGAACTTAAACTGGGACTTAAAATGACGGGTACAGTTTAGATGGTAAATGTAAGCGTACCGGTCAGGAAGGGCTTGGTGGTGAGCACTCATTCCTCTGCGCGCTGGTTACTCTGCAGGGCCATGGTGCGTCCCTTCACCCGAGGCTGGAAAGACCTCATGCACTGAATTTTCTAATTTAGTATTTATTCTCAATTTTTCTTGTTGCTTTTTGCTGATACAAGTGTAACATATTTACATTACAGAAAGAGTGGGAAAACACAGACAATGACTAAATGCCCGTAGACCCTATTAATGTCTTGGTACAGGGTTGTCTTCCCACCCCCAGAGCAATCCCCAGTCCCTCCTATGTCCTCAGCACCCTTGCTACCTGGGGCTGACATCGCTCAGGAGCAGGGGCTGCCTGGCGAGCTCTCACACAATACCAGACTGAGCAGGAATTCAGACATCAGCAAAGCCACCTCCACAGACGAGGGACTCTAGCACTGGAGGTGCTGGCATAACATAGGGGCTGAAGACCGAAAACCTGGGTTCAAATCCCAGCTCTACCTTGACTAGCTCTGGGGTCTTGGCCAGATTATTTGGCTTTCCTGAGCCTCAGTTTTCCCATCTGCAAAATAGGGACAGCAACTATTATTGTAAGGATTGAGTAAGATGATGCATGTGTGGCTGGAGCAGGTAAACCATCAAGAAATGTTGACTTTTAAAACCAAACCAAGCCAAAGAATCAAAAGAACCAAGCACTCAGACAATGAGTCTGAGGCTCAGAGAGATGTGGTGACTGGTGCTGTCCAAACACTGCCCAGTAGGGTCAGAGGACCCCTGCGTTGCTCCTGCTACACCATGCCGCCTCCTATGGCTCATCCTTGGAAAGTGGGGGCTGCATGAGGGGGCAGGGTTCCAAAATGCAGCACTCAACCTCTTGGGAGGGAGTCAAGGAAAGAGAAAGCAAAGTCTGTTCCTGGGCTATGGCTGCAGGATAAATCTGTGCGACCCTCGGGACGGGGTAGCAGCTGGCCTGGAAGATTCAGCTCTCTCAGTCCACCTGCTATAGCCAGGGATTGTAATACCAATTGCCATATTTCCTAGCCATATTTCTAAAACAGATCAAATGTACGATGCGCCATTATTTTACGTACCACCGGGAAAGGAAAAATACCGTCAAGCCAGATACAGCTGTAAGATGGGGTCAGTTGTAAAATGCGCTCTGATTTCAGAGACATAATATGGGAGGTGGGAGGAATGTGCATCTTCGAATGGATAAAATATAGTGACCTCCTGGCATTTCTCTGAAGCCTGAGAAATCCTGCCTGTCCCCAGGCTCCTCTTCTCCAGCTCCAGCCCCATCCCTTCCTCTTCTCCTTCTGTCCCTGGGCTGCACAGGCTGTTGGGCTCCAAGGGCCATCCATTGAGAAAGAGGCACAAGGGAGGGGCCAGGATGTGGTCCTTCTCACTCC